CACAAACTGTGAGAAAGTCTAGTGGTCTAAAGTGAAGGAAAACTCCAGTAGCATTAAAATCTACAAAAAGCTAAAAATCTTAAAAATTCTAAGGCATCACTTTGGAGAGTTTTGGTCAATCTGATGTACTTGGACACAGAATTAAATATGATTCAAATGAGGAAATACTTCTTTTGTCTGTTATTATGGAAAACTTCAGCCTTGAAATATTTTAGCTGTATATTCTTCTAGACTGTATGCTTTATAAAACCTTGTTATTACAAATCCAGCTTATTTCTAAGCCTTGATCCACAAAGCCTCTTTATGTACAGATTCTGATGTTTTTTTGCAACACATCTAAATCATATAATCTAATTTATTCAAAGTTCTGACTGTGGTTTTCAGTCTCTTACAGCATTTCAACAAGTTGTGCAAACTACAAAATTTTATGAAAATATGGCATTTACCTGAGGATATGAAAACTGCTATTCTGCTCCATCTGACTTGTTATTCTACTCTTGCAATGGTCAGAGTCACCTATAAATGTTCTATCACACTTTTAAATCATGCAGTTCTGTATCTCATAGGAAAATAGATGAAGGCAATTTCCTTCTGCTCACAGTGGTAGCTTTATATGCCTAACTTGAACTCTTACTTTCAATGAACTAGAAGCATTTTAACTGAGCTAGTTAAAAAGCATAGAAAAGGCCAGTATTCTTGAAATAGCTACCCCAGGGCAGGAATCAATTGTACTGTTAATTTGAGAAAATCAGTTTCCAGAAAATATGAACAATGATCACAAATAAGAAAATAAATGTAACCAAAAGCTAATGCAATTAATCAAAGAGTTCTTTTCTGTGATGTCTTCTTACTGCCTGAAACAGAAATGTAAATTTAGTATATGTCAGCTGTATTAATGAGAAGCCCAAGATGGAGTTTTTAACTATGAAACTTCAATACAACCAGCAAATTGAAAATGTTAAAGGAAAAAACCTTATAAAGGAGAAGAGGAGATCTGTGTGAACACACATTTCTCCTTGTTTTATTTCTCACCAGCAGTTGCTGGTTCAACTGAATAACAGCTCTTTCCCAGCATTTTAAGGAACTGGTCAGCCTCACAGCCCTATTTGCTGAAGGAAAAGAGAAGACTGGTAGCACAGACACTACCAGTTTTCACTCACTCTTAGGCTTGATCACCTTTGCTTTAAAGAACTCCAAAGCCGCTCATGAGTTTTAGTTTTTTTAATCTGTCTACTTTTTTGGAAGATGTTTGTGCTGGTTTTGATTGGGATTGATATTTTTCCTCATAGAAGCTGGTATGGGGATATGTTTTGCATTTGTACTGAAAACAGTGTTGATAACTCTATAATATATTATTTACATATATATAAAATCTATATTACATATAATATAGAGTTTATATAGGATTGGTTTTTTTTGCTCAGCATTGCTTACACAGACACAAAGCCTTTTTTGCCTCTCACCCCACTCCACCAGCAGGGGGGCTGGGGGAGAGCACAAGGAGCTGGGAGGGGACACAGCCAGAACAGCTGACTACAATTGACACAGGGCACATTCCATACCATAGGGCATCGTGATCTTCATAGAAAGCTGGGCAAAGAAGGAGGAAAGGGGGGACATTCAGAGTGGTGGCATTTCTCTTCTCCAGTCACTGTTCTGAGTGATGGAGCCCTGCTTTCCTGGGATGGCTGAACACCTGCCTGCCTGAGTGAAGGAGTGAATGAATTCCTTGTTTTGCTTTGCTTGTGTGCAGTTTTTGCTTTACGTATTTTCCTGTCCTTATGAGGACATGAGTTTTCTAGCTTTTGCCCTTCCAGTTCTCTCCTTGATCCCACTGGTGGCTGAAGGAGCGAGCAAGTTGGTTTTCAGCTGGGGTTTAACTACGACAGTACTGAAAGAATCTCTTCTCTTCTGCCTGTTTTCAATAATTGCTTTGTAATGGCAAGGAGCACTTCAGGAGAATCTATTGGCCATGTTAGATTATGTCTGACCACTAGACTGATGCTCTGAAGGCTTTAACTCATGGGATCCTGTGCCATAATTTTTCTTCCACTTCATTTACAATATTCTTATTTTTAGAATCAATGTGAGACAGACCCAATTATACTTGAAGTTCAGCAGCATATAATAGGTGTCTGAATTTGACTCTTGAGTTATTTTAATCATCATTTTCACAATTTGACATAATTTACACAATGCTATTTGGTTTTAAACACCTTGGGCTCAAAGTCCCATCTTTTAAAACCATGTATTTTCAAAAAAACCCAAACATAAATTACTTCATTTTATAGTCAAGTACCTCTAATATGTTTATCAAATACAGAGTAACATGTCAGATTGTATTTTTAGTAGCTGTATTATCCATTATTATTTTTTTCTGAATGCTAGGAACAATATTCCAGAGTGAACATGCATTCTTTATATTTGTGGAAATTTGAAAAAGCTGCTGTAAATTTGAGTTTTCCTTTCCTAACTGTATTTTACGTTAATTTCTATCTGTGCTTCATTGCATCTCTCTTGGCTTCTGTCCTTCAAGAGTGATTTCCAGTCTCCTTGCAGATGTGCTCCACTTGACTGAGTCGACAACATTCAAATTGCAAATAAGTGGGGACCTGGAATCTTGGTGTTTTTCTGACAAGTTTTTTCATGTGACCTGTTAGCAATGAGTTTGAATTGTTACAGAATTATTTTGCAAACTCCAAGTACCTGTCTGAAACTCAGTCTCCTAAATCTACCAACCTTTGTCTGGGATTTACTAGAAAGAAGCACCTTCATGTATGCAGGGAAGTAAGTATGATGCCATTATAAGATAACTCTGATGGTTTGGACACTGGTTGGATTTATTTTATTGCATATGCATAAAACAGCTGTGCAGTGCAAATACAGTAGGTCTCTCAGAAATCTCTCAGAAATCTGCAGACACCTGGCCATGCTGCAAGCCTGAATGCTACTATGCACACACAGTGGAGCAAGCCAGGTTAGTGGATGTCAAAAATCCCAGATGTGGATTTGTTGACTGATAAGGAATTACAGGCAGACCACAGCCAGACTCGTGTTACTATGTGTGTTTAATAGCAAACAAACTTGCAATGTCATGATATCACATCATGATGTGACAGCATCATGAGTAAAAATAATCCTACAAAACAAAAAGCATATTTGCAGATGGGTTTTCATCTGGAAGAGGATATGTCCCACTCATATGGTAACTCTGTTTAAATAAATAATAAACACATAATTTCACCAACAAAAAGCCTCACCAAAGTATTGATACTTATGGTGAACTTTAGTTAGACAAGATACTGGGAGCTGGGATAACCCAGAGGAATGAAAATGGCCTTGCCAAGTCGTGCTTAACATAAGCCTTACAGGCACGTTTTACAAGAATGTCCATCCTAAAAATGTTTGTAGCTTAGAGCACCTTTGGATAGATGTAACTTTGAAGGTCTTAACTGAGTCATATCTAGAATTATGACTAAAAAGTCCTTCAAGAGACTAAAATTTCACTGCTTCTTTCAAGTACAGATGTGGGAAGGAAAACAACACCAATGTTATCATCACAGAATGTCATGGCAAATTTTGACTTGCATATGTGTATACAACTACTGTATACATATATCCCATTGATGTCAGGAGCATATCAGAGTTGAGACCTGCTGTGCATATCTGACAGGTATTTTTTTTTTTTTTGCTGGAAAGATTACATAGTATCTAAAAGATAAAAAATAGGGATGAGATTTGGTCATTGTTCCCAGAGCTGTATAATTAGTCTTAAATGTTCTAGTTACAGTCTTGCTGTGGATTTGCATGTGTAACTCCTAGTGATTAAAGCAAAACATGAAGAGCAGAACTAAGCTTTTGCTCTGTGTGGGAAGCAATATATGAAACTGTGCCCACTGAAATCACTGGGAGTATTTTCTTTTCTTTGCTGGGTCAGGATTTTCTCCCATGTCTGGCTAAGTACTTGATAGATTCATTTTCAGAGACTCTATTCCCTCTCCCTTTTCTCCTGGTTAGATAAGATAAAGTATTTTCAAGAAAAAAGTAAAAAGAGAACTAACCCAAATAAATGCAAAACTTTGATATCCTACTTCTCCCTGGCATAAAAGGAGAAAGAGAGGGTTTATGTTCATACTGTAGTCTTTATTCTAAATCCAATGTAAATATAGAATGAAATGTAAATCCGTTGGTTTTTTGTGTGGTGAATTTTACAACATTTTTATTATTGATTCAGCTGTATGCTGGAAAGTGTCTTTCATTAAAAAATCCATAAGCAGTTGAGGAAGGAGTTGAGGTGATCTCTTTGTGTCTGCTAAAGTTTAAACCCCTCTTGTACATAGCCAGATTAAATCCAGGAGTGGAAAAAGTGACGTATACCATGTCCTTCTCTGATGTCCAAGATTTAATGACATGTTTGCCTTTACACTTGTAACTCCTTGGTTACAATTCAGTTGAGTTTTCCCTCACTGTGTCACTGTCTTAAGTATTTTTCACTTTTCTAATGTCAATAGCTCTTCTGTTGAGAGGACTCAACAGGAAGTGGATGCAGGGAGTATGAGCTCTGATGAGATCCTTTAATCCACCCCTAATCCCACTCAATTAAAACTCCATTGATGACAGAAAAATCATTAAGTGCTGAAGAACAGGAAAATGAGTGAAAACAACCCTGCATGAGAAATTAGATGCACAGCTTTTAACAGGGGTGTCCTGCTCCTTCCCCAGCACACCTCCTTTCTGTGCCATCCCTGGCAAACAAAGCCCTTAACTCTTACAGCTGAGCATGTAAAAATGTATAATGTAGTTGGCAGCTTAAGTAATGCAGCTCTCACTGTTCAGGGAGCGTTATGCATAGAATACATAACATCACACTTCCCGCTGCTGGGGGAGCTGAAGTGATCTGGAGGCTTATGTGAAGGGTTCATTCAGTGACTGGCCTCTTCTATAAACACATAGCCCTAGTAAACTGTGCATCCCTGTTCAACCGATGCACTGCTGCTTACCTGTGTATTTCTGTAATTAATTTTCAGGGATGCAGTTTGCAGAGATAGAAGGAAAACTACAAGCGAAAGTAAGGAGAAAAAAAAAAAGAAAAACACCTTCCATCATTCTGTCTATAAATAAGTTTAATAGCATTATTTTCTATTTTCTAATGTAAAAAACAAAGGGTATTTTTTGTTGGATATTTTTACATTTAGCGTGTCCATTTTTCTGCTTTGCATCTTTTGTAATGAAGCAGGAGGAAAAATAAGCCAAGAATGCAACATTTGATGTTATCTTTTCCCTTTGCACAACCCTCTCCTCCAAAACCTTCAGGTGGTTTGTAGGTCGTAGTGAAAGAGGAAGCATAGCAGAGGATGTATGAAGAACTAAGGAGCAGCAGGTCTGAATGACATTTTCCACTGGAAAATCTGGGAACCATATGCTGTAAACCTTGAGTACAGTAATGTGGCTTGAAGCAGCATCAAATCCATTTACTATGCATGAGCCCCCTCTTCCCAGAGTACACGCATGGGTCATGGGGCCAAAAGCAGTACAACAACCAGCTGGACTTCGTTAAAGGTTCTGGTGGTGGCCAGGGGAAAGCCTTTGACAAGTCTTCCTGCAAGTCTATGCTGAGAACCTACAGCATTGCAGTCTTGATTTCTCACGGATTCCCAGTCTTTATTGTCTTCCTTTTTTGGCCTGAAATATCCCTATCTGGAATCTCAGATAATCTCACAGACGTAAGGAGTATATGAGGTAATTCGTAGAAACTTAAGACCCACATAATTGTAGACTTCTCAGACTTATTTTGTTCCCCTGTGTGATTTTACACTGGAACGATATATGTAGGCTTCCATCTTTCTTCATCGCTGCTTAAAAATGGAATGGCCTGGTACTTTTCCAGGCAATCTGTGTGCACCTATAAACTGAAATGCAGCTCATAAACATTAACCATGTTGAAACAATACACTCACTATTTGCAATCACATTATAAACAACTTAGATGTAAGACACAATTTGTAGACATCTGTAATGTCACTGCACAGGGAAACCCAACCTCCACACCTAAACCACAGAGTAATTAGCAGCACATATATATTTTGGCTTGCACATGAGCTTTCAAGTAATATATGTATCATCCCTATGACATTGTTTTTAATAATGTCATTTTCATGAAATAGTGGTGGCATTAAAACCTCTGACCACTTTTACAGTCCTTTAATGCCTCTTCTCCCTATTTCTTTGGCACACACTCTCTGCTGTCTACTTCAAACTGCAGATTGCCAGAACTTCTTTGCTACATGCTTAAGTGCCTTGTTCAACGCCTTGTATTCTGATTCCTATGTAGTGCCCCTAGGGGTTGCAGTAAAAACAATAACTCATGGGTCCTGACCCTTCAGATACTTTCTAGTACAAGTAATACCCACTAAGGCTGGTAAGCACGTCCAAGAGCAGGCTGATGATTTGTGCACTTGGCAAACAGAGGCTCAAGAGATTCTTGAGAGGTTTCATTTGATAAACAGGAGAATGTTGCCGTGCTTGCATTCCCTGACATTTATTTTGATATAACAAAAAGCTTTTGAAAGATAGGCAGTTTCCAAAGATTAAAGTACCTTGCTAGTTGCTTGTAGATCTCCCTTGGACAGCTCAGAGTCATCCCACTTGCTCCTCAGCCTCCAGACCTGTAGTCAGCTGCTGGTCATCAGCTTCAACTGCAAAACTACAGGATCTGCAAATCTTCCACAACTCCTCCAAGTTCTATTCATAGAAATATACTAGGATCTACACTCAGTGGGTCTGGTGCCAGAGATAATTTTAGAGCGGACTTGGCTGGTTTCTTCTGTCTCCTTTTTTGAACTGTTTTGATACAGGTAACATAAGGTCAGAGTCAAGACCTTGTGGAACAATTTCTCTATCATATTACACTGCAAACTTGTTGTTTTTAGCACTTACTCGGTGCTGTTGCAGAGCAGTCCACTAGCAGACACTCTGTGTCAGTTTATTTTGTGTATTGTGAAATAAATAAAAAAGGGCACCTCTGCTGGGTTTTTGTAGGAGAAAAGACTACATAATTTGATTAGCCTATGAATAATGTTCTAGACTCTGATTTATTTTCTTTAACTCAGACAGCAAATTTAGTTACACAGTCCTCCTCAGGAGTTAGAGAACACATATGAGGAACATGACACTCAAACGGGTGCCTGAGGTGTCAGTTCCTTTATCAGCTCTATTACAGATATCCTGGTTCCCCTCCTCTCAGTTTTCCCATCTGTTAGATATGGATGAAGTTCCTCATCAGTTGTATGAAGACACTGAGGTCTATGGGTAGTCAGGCTACTGTGGTCAGATAAACTGTGATCACACTTCACCCTGTAAAAGAGCCATTTGCCTGATGCATGAGGTTATTAGTGTTGATGTGTAGAACACCCACATAGTCTACCTTTTGAGTAATACAAATCTAAGTACTCTTCTAGAGTAAGCCTAGATCTCTAAAATAAAATGTGTTCATCTATCCAATATCTGCTGTTCCTAGACACCAGGACCCATTCACTGATTACAGCTCCTTAACCCTGCGTTCCTCTAGGAACACAAATTGCAAATGATGCAGCCACATATGCTGACCATGGTTAAGGACCTCAAGCCTCTAAGCAACACCAAGAAAAACAGAATGGCCTACAGGTTCCTCAATGTCTTTGCCATATGTCATGTGTATGAAGCAAGGTGTTCAATATGCTGCGCCAGGGAGCAGTCCAGCAGTGTCTGCAGCACAGGAAAGTTCCAGCCTGTGCCTGTCTGGTACTAAGGGATGCCACCACTACTGCCCAAAGCTGTGTCTCAGCAAGGCAAAAACAAGTTTTCTGTCCTCATTTCCTCACTCCACTAGCCTGCACAGAGAAAATCTTGGCTCTAAGCAGACACCATTTCCCACCAGCTATTGCAGTTGAGGAAAAAGGGATTTCAAAGTGCTTGACTGGGCATGCAGCATGATCCTCTATGTAGCCTTGTGTAATACACGATAATGGATTGGTGTCTTTCTTCCTATTGGTCGGGGTTTTTTTAAGCATAGTTTTGCCAGAGTCAGCATTAGTAGCATCAGGCATTTGTGTCCAGCCCAAGCTGGAAAAGCACCTACAAAACTGCTTGCCTGTGGAAAACATGAGTTAAGGGAGAAGAGGTGCACACTTGTGAGATGGGTTGTGCTTCTGAGATGGTAAACCAGTAGGCTGTAAGAAAGCCAGAACAGCAGATAGAAAAATAAAATATTAATCAGAAAGTCAAAATTCAGGTCCTGTCTGGTGATTCCATGGAAGCAAACAGCACCTATTCTGGAAACAGTTGATAAGGCACGTCTTGACTCTATTTGCTGAGCCAGGGAAGACAGCCCAGCACTTGTCACTGATGTGCAGCATAATGACAGGCTACAAAAGTCCCAGGTGCTTTTCTCCCTGTCACTGTAGATATAAGATTGGAAGTGATCTGGACAAAAATTGTGAGATACTACCATTCACATTCAGTGAAATTAAAATAGTTTAAACCATTCCTAAAATACACTCACCTGCTGAGAATAGAAATACTGGGTCACTTTTACCTGTGTTTTGTTCTCATTTCATGCCAAGTTAGCACCACAAAGCTCACAGGCACTGTGCTCACCGAGTAGTAAGGAAATGAATCCACAGCCTTGATCTAGCACTAACATCATGAGTGAGATGTATTCCTTTATGCCTACCTTGGTTTCAAAACCTTGTTTAACTCAGGTGAAATACAGGACTGTACCAGCGCTCTACTTGTATTTGCTGATTTCCAGCAAAATGGTCTTGTGAAATTTAACTTGAGAAGAAAGCAGAAGCTTTGGAGAAAGGTTCAACTTAAAGTACTGGGAAAGATCTTATTTCTTCAGGTCTACTTGATGAAAAATAAATTCCATTGAAAGTGTGAGTGTTCCTAAGAACTTCATATATAGAAAATAAATTAATGGATATCATTCAAGAGGTCACTGCCAAATGTCACTAGTCAATGCAAAAACATCCAGAGCAGTTTCTTAGAGACTGCTAGAGAGTTTTCATTCAAATTCCCAGCTCAGTTTTATAGAAAAAAAAATCACTAAAAATAATTCTTCATTATTGTATAATATCATTATTTTAGAAATATTCATTTTGTTTGGACTTGAAATATCAGGGTTTGGTGACGTAAAAACAAAATACATCAAAGGGCTCTGGATACTCTCTTTGTATACTAATTTGGAAAAGTAATTTTCTTATTTCTTTTTTCTTCTGGAACTCACATTCTTCTGAGAAAACTAATACAAGTCAAAACTTTCTTGCCAAAAGAAACATTTTTTAAAGTATACTCTTAGAAAATAGAGTTTTTATTTTTTTTGAAAAATGTATTTGCTATCAATAGCATTTTAATTATGTCCAGCTATGAGGGGAAAAATTATAAGCATCTTTCCAATATGTAGTCAGATACAAAGACTAAAGGGGGGGAAATTACAAAACCATACATATAAAAAAATATTAAAAAAAAAAGACGAGCTGCATTATTTGTTCTTGTGGATTGTGCAACTTGCCTCTTTATGAGTTGTTGAATGACAACTTAATTTGCAAGTGTGAGAGCAAAGAGAATAATGTGATAATTTATCTCCAAATGAAGATAGAGCAATAGCATACACAAAATTAATCAGCCCTCTTCACAGACTAATTTTTAAAAGTCTTCCAGGAAAAAGTATTTTAGTATTTTTAAAAAAGCATTTGTAGCCATCTGAAAATAATTTCTTGTCCTCTTAACAACCTTCTTACATGGGAAACTAATGCACCACTTGTCACTTGATAGGGCAGTGTATGGGTGTGTTTAAGTTTGAGAGGAGAAGGGCGTGTTTTAATATGAAGGTCTAATGGTGCTATTGGGTTTTTAAGAATCAGAATGATCTAATTGCTTTCTAAAGCGCATCTAAATATCATGGTATTCAGAGACATGTTGTGTCTTGTTAAATTTTTTCAGTAATGTAGAACAAGAACACAATAGCTCCAGTAAATCAAACTGAAATGAGTGATTAAGTACCTGATTTAAT